TAACAATCTATCATCAATTAAATACTTAAAAACATCTCCTTCATATATTCAAAATTTTAATTACAATTCATAGTTGTTTTAAGCAAGACAATTTTTTATTAATAATTTATTTCATAGGGTTCAGTGTTTTGTCCATATCTTGAGTTCTAGACCTCATTTTAAGATGATTCCAATTGTGTTGGAAAAATAAGATAATAATCTATAACTTTGATGAAGGCACTATCCTCAAATTCTAACATTTATTGAGTCATTTTCCTAGTAAACAAAGAGGGGGTAATATACTGTTTGACTTTATCTCGATTATACCCTTAACCTTTTTCAAAATTCCATTTATGTCCCTAATATGTGAAATGACTATTTTACCCTTGATCTTTTGCAAAAATTCCCACCTAGTCCTTTATTCTTCCTTCGCTCGCTCAAGCGAGTATACCGGTCGCTTGAGCGAGATGGAACCCGAGAGTCCCCTTTTGTTTGAAGGTTTCGTCGCTCAAGCGAGTACATCGGTCGCTTGAGCGAGGCATGACCCGAGAGTCCCCTTTGTTTGAAGATTTCGTCGCTCAAGCGAGTACACCGGTCGCTTGAGCGAGACATGACCCTTAGTCGCTCAAGCGATGAAATTTTCGCTTGAGCGATAAAGAACCCGAGAATCCCAAATTTTTCCAGGTGTCCTCGCTCAAGCGATATATTTTTCGCTTGAGCGAATTTTGCAGATTTTCGAAATCCAGGTTTCAAATTTCTCAGTTTCAATCACTCAAATTAGTTCCAAATCAAAATTAAACCATAAACATGTTCAATTTAAGTTAAAAACAACAATTTTATTATATAATTCATCCTTAATTGAAAGAATTTCAACAATATTTCAAACTTTGCAATTGATGAATAGTAATCTGCAATTACAGACATTCGTATGAATAAAACTAAACGTCTAACCCATACCTGATTCCTCAATATCTTATTACTCTCCTAATTTTGTATGCTCCTCCTTTCCTCCTTTCTCTCGAATTCTTCTTCCAAGAATTCTGGTGTCTCTCGGTTTATTCTTCAAGTTGGTCGTGAATTGTGTTGGTGTATGTTTCCAGTTTCCTCTTATTTATAAACTTACTCACCGACTTAATTCTTTCTAGGATTTTTTTCGCTGTCTTTATTCTCCACCGCATTAATTTAATTCTGATTCTTCACCGACTTAATTGAAATGTATTTAGGCCACCACCGACCTTCTGTTTCTCTCTTCTTCTTCTTCTTCTTCTTCTTTTTTAAATATATATTTACTCATTTATTTAATTTTTTATTATTAAGAATTATTATTTGACACAATATTAACCTTGGATTTTATTTTATAATTTTCTTAAGACAAAATTACTATAAAAATCATGTTTTATTTTTATAATAACTCTACATAATATTCGGTACATATTTATAACTTACAAAATTTATTTATATAATTGATTACAAAATTTAGGATATTACAGTTCTCGTCTCAACCATCTTATCATAAAGTGAATTATTAGATCAAGAGAAAGATAATGTATATTGAGACTCACCTTGGTGAATCATTTTATGAATTCTCTCATTGACTCATTTCGCTTTTGTTTGAATCCTTGAAGGGTGAGAGAGGTTAGCCAATGTGGTCTAGTTGCTGAGAAATTTGCTTAGAACTGATCGGTTAGACTATCAAATGATTTTATTGATCCACTAGGTAGGTTGTAAAACCGCTTGAGTGTTATTCCTTTCAATGTTATAAGAAAAATCTTACTTAAAAAACATCATTCTCACTATACTAATTTGTGTCAAGTAAGATTGGACATGCTTGTCTGAATTTGTTCCTCCTTCAAAGTTCTCCACTATAAGGGTTTTTATCCTACAAGTAATGACTCTGTCGTAATTCTAGGAATGAAAAAGCTTTTGAGCTTTAGTTTCAATTGCAATTGAACGTAGTAAGACTCGAACATTCTCACACTTAGGCTTAAATCAAATAACTCTTCCATGAAACTTAATTATTCCTGTCGTTCATGAAATCAAATATACTAAGTTTATTCAAAAGATTTTGTAATATAGAATGTAAACCTAGGTCATTCTTCTCAAAGACACATATCAAAACATATTTAATCTTTAATATTCTTTATGTAAAAATTAAAATTAGGGATTTAGGATTTAGAATTTGAAAAAACCCAAATATAACTTAAATTAAAAAAAAACAGTGGAGATATAGATCAACCCACGAATTTTCAACCAAAGAATAATTTTATCATTGTTCTCTAAAGATTTCAAATCAAATTTGAATAATTAACCAATTCAGTTAATCAATTAAACTGATTATACAAATTAAATCTTAATATCATTAAATCTAAGTATCAAATTAAAATTCAATCGATTTCTAATTTGAATTCTAAAAACAACATTACAAATTAAAATTTTAAGGTGCAAAATCGATATTAGAGAAGATAAGAACAAACTCAAAGCGAGAAGCAATTGGTGTGAATCTCAATTTGGTTTATCTGATCTTGATTTCATGAATTGATCATCAAGATTTAGTTCTTAATAGAAGAAGAACACAAGTGCTAATTTGGTTTGTGAGAGAAGAGGAAGAGTCACAAGAATGAGAGAAATGAGAAGAAAGAGAAAACATAGAGATATTCTCTAAACTGAAAACTAGACAAATAATTTATTGATATGAGTTTAGAACATTTTTAAAGTATATATGAGACTCTCAAGTCTAAAGTAAACGTAATCTAAATATGGACTCTAATTAGGTTCATAAGTAGGCATGGCAACTGGGAGGGCTGGGCGGGCGGGCGGGGCGATCTCTGCCAGGGTTAAAAATTAAGTCATCATCCCCGTCCCTGCTGGGTTTCGGGTTCCCCGCTCCCGTCCTGTCCCCGATCTATATTATTTTTAAAAATATAATTACATTTATAATAATTAATTTTATTATGTATTTTTTATATATAAATAAATATTTATAATTTTATAATTTATAATTATTATTAATTAAATATACATTTTAATTTATATTAAAATATGTATGTAAAAAATATTTAATTATCTATATATATAGAATATTTATAACATTATTATTATTATTATTATATTCAAATATTTGAATACTTATAACATTATTATTATAATATTGTATTCAAATATTTAATTATATATATAAGTTAATTCATTTTTAAGTTTTCATTTAAAAATATGGAATATATAGTTTATAAGGAAATATTTAATAATTTAATTCTTATTTAATTAGTTCGAAGTAATAAAAGTTTAAATTATCAATTTCTTTTAATCCTTTAAAATACAATTATTTTCTTAAGATAAAATTTGATATATGATAAATAAGAATAATAAGATAAAAAAATATGACATAATAAAACCTAATAAATATAAATTATAAATAAAATAATATTAGTTATTACTATGATTTATGTAAAGTATTTAGAAAAATATAAAAAAAAATTACTTTGTGTTCATCAAATTGATTGAAAAGATTAAAAAAAATTGATGGGAGAAATTAAGGAAGTATAAAAAATAGAAATGTAAGAGAAAATAATGTAATAAATTAATTGATATAAAAGATTAAAAAAGACAAAAAAAATTAAAAGTGGGTAGAAGAAAAATAAAAATTGGTGAAATATTAAAAAAATAACCTTATATGTAATAGAAAAAGAAAAGAAAATACATTTAAAGTATTAATATTTTAAATTTTAAATTTAAATATAAAGTCGGGCGGGGATGGGGTCGAGGTGGGGATTGCATTATCCATCCCCGCCCCACCCTCGAGGAAAAACCCGAACCCGACTCCGCCCCGGTCAACTCGGGTTTTCCCCGTCAAACTCGGGCGGGGACGAGTCGGTCCACACGGATGCGAGTTTAATTGTCATCCCTATTCATAAGTCCAATTACAAAAGATAATCTAATACAAATAAAAATTAAATATATATTGATTCCTTTACAAATTTTCAATAAATTTACCTCAACTTCTAAAAATCATAATAAATAACATAACTTTAACTCCATCAAATACTATATCAATTTGATAGCCTAAAAATATAGAATTTAATGTGACTTCAATCAATAAAAAAATAATGTCTATAAAAAAAGTTATGAATAAAATAATGAGCAGAGGACAAATTAGTTAAAAATATAAAATTAATGTAAATATATACATTGAATTCCATTTCTTATTATTGACTAAAAATGAGTTTAAAAATAAAAAAAGTATAAAAATTACATTTATTGTACACTAAGACTATAAATATGTATATAAAATATATTATTAAGACTGGTCCGCACTTTGAACTTCTTAATCATAAGGTGATTGGTACCATGGTGGAGATTTATATCATAGAAGGATTTACATTTTGTTGTCTAAATATGTCTGTCTCTTCCTTATGCTTTTTCTTAATTCTTTGAAGTTTTACATGAATGTTCGCTTCATTTTTTGATTGCATTTAATTCACGTGGGATTTCAAGCTATCGATGGTATCAAACATGTATGGATCAAACGACAATTATTTGAATGTGACTTAGGATATCCCACACTATAAATGTCTAAATTTCTTGGCAAAAAGTTCCAATAATAAATGGTCTCGAAAGAGGCTAGTCAAGGAACTCGGCCAAATCGATCTTTTGACAGGAAACTCCTTGAAATCTACTGGACCGAGCTGTCGAGAAAATAAAATAAAATTGCGGAGTAAAAACTGCACTAAAGCCACTTCTGAAGCTGAAACTAAACCAGACCAAGAATCAAACAGAAAACGAAATTGCGAAATTCACTCAAACTCCCAAGAATTAGTTTCCATAAATATAGACAAGAAATTCCTAGGAGAATATGTTTTCCCAGAGCAGTGGGAAAGAACAGGGAGAGAAGAGGGAGTGAGGATTAAATAGAGTTGATGATAGGAAGCAAAGCAGGGCGGAAAGAAAAAGAACAAGAAAGCGCGTTTCTGTTTTCTGAATCCTAACTTGGTACTTATTTCTGGTAACTCAGTCACCGCTATGCTATGCATGGTCTCCTTCGAAACCCAACATTGCTCTGGATTCCCACTACAAATGGCATCATCAACCGTCGCTTTTTCCGATCAGAACCCCAAAGCTATGCTGAACTCATTGATATATACGCTCGCGATCGAGCGTTGCACCTTGGCAAGAAGCTTCACGCGCACTTAATCACTAACGGTTTCTCTCGTTTCAACGTGATTGCTTCTAACCTCGTAGCTCTCTACGCGTGCTGTGGCCAACTCTCCCATGCGCGAAAACTGTTCGACAAAATTCCCACAACAAATGTTCGCCGCTGGATCGCCCTCATTGGCACGTGCGCTCGCTGCGGCTTTTACGATCACGCGCTCGCGGTGTTTTCTGAGATGCAAGCCGTTCAAGGTCTTACGCCCAACTACGTATTCGTCATCCCCAGCGTTCTCAAAGCATGCGGCCATGTTGGGGATCGAATAATCGGAGAGAAAACGCATGGCTTAATTTTGAAATGTTCGTTCGAACTTGATTCTTTTGTGTCCAGTTCTTTGATTGTTATGTACTTCAAGTGTGCGAAAGTTGAGGACGCCCGCAAGGTATTTGATCGGATGGTTGTGAAAGACACGGTGGCTCTAAATGCTGTTGTTGCTGGGTATGTTCAACAGGGTGCTGCAAATGAGGCATTGGCTTTGGTGGAAAGTATGAAGTCGATGGGTTTGAATTCAAATGTGGTAACTTGGAACTCTTTGATATCTGGGTTTTCGCAAAAGGGTGACCAAGGAATGGTGTCTGAGATTTTTAGGCTGATGATCGCAGATGGGTTGGAACCTGATGTGGTATCATGGACTTCTGTTATATCTGGTTTCGTGCAGAACTTTCGTAATAAGGAGGCATTTGATGCGTTTAAGCAAATGCTGAGTTACGGGTTTAGACCAACTTCAGCTACTATAAGCACCCTCTTGCCTGCTTGTGCTACTGCAGCCAGAGTTAGGATTGGGAGAGAGATACATGGATACGCTATGGTAACTGGGGTGGAGGGAGATATATATGTAAGGAGTGCTCTTGTTGACATGTATGCAAAATGTGGGTTCATTTCTGAAGCAAGATGTTTGTTTAGTAGGATGGCTGAGAAGAACACGGTTTCTTGGAACTCAATAATTTTTGGTTTTGCGAATCATGGGTATTGCGAGGAAGCTATTGAGCTCTTCAATCAGATGGAGCAGGAAGGGGCAGCAAAACTGGATCATTTAACTTTCACGGCAGTTCTTACTGCATGCAGTCATGTTGGAGATATTGAACTTGGGCAGAGGCTGTTCAAGATTATGCATGAAAAATACGGTATTGAGCCACGGCTGGAGCATTATGCGTGCATGGTAGATCTTCTTGGTCGAGCAGGGAAACTTGATGAAGCTTATTGCATGATTAAGGCAATGCCTATTGAACCCGATTTGTTTGTGTGGGGTGCATTACTGGCTGGTTGTAGAAATCATGGGCACACGGAGCTTGCGGAAGTGGCTGCTATGCATTTGATGAAATTAGAGCCCGAAAGTGCTGCAAACCGTCTTCTTTTGTCTAGCTTATATGCTGATGTAGGCAAATGGGGAAAGGTTGAGAGGATCAAGAAAAGGATAAAGAAGGGAAAACTCAGAAAACTTCAAGGTTTGAGTTGGATAGATAATTTAACATTATAGGTTGGTAGAGACCATAGGTTTTGCTTCGTGAAGAGACGCAGCTAATGATATAAATTTGGATCTATATCGTTTTGTACTCCTCTGAAGGATTATTTCCATAACATAAACTATTGGACCTAAACAATATCTTGTCGATGTGCCTGCATCCTTTATAGGTAGTCCATAGTGTAGAATGGGACTGGATGGAGAGGGTAGAACCATTTCATTGTTTAGATTACATATCTTACGAAGGAATAGATAGCTCCATGCATACCTTCCAAATTGGAGGTAAGAAAAAGGTGTTGAAAAGGAATATCATTCCACTCATTTCATCCCTTCGACAAAATTTACAATGGTAATAAAAAAAAAAGATGAAAATAACTGAATTGATGTTTAGTATGGATGGAGGTAGTTATTTATATTTTATAATAAGAAGAATAACTATGATAAATTTATTGGTTTTTATAATAAATATTTTAAATAATTGATAGTGTAATTCTAGGGAAAAAATTGATTAAAAAATATGTGAAATACTTGTAAATCACTAAAGGTGAAGTATTTCACTTAAAAAGACTGATTAAAAACTATGTTGCTCTCGCTCCTTTAAAAAAAAAAAAAAACTCCGCAAAAGGTTGTTTGGGCAACACATGGCACAATCTCTTCTATTGCATCACATAGTTGCAACGGAGTGAAGTTGCACGGGAAATAATTTGTTGCTTCATTCGTCACCAAGTTTTATTTTCAAGCGAAAACGACTTGTGGTCCAGTTATTATATCTAAAGGATTTTACTTGGGGACCCTAAAACTTAAATCTACATTTTCTTCAAGAGACCTAATCCACTAAAGGCATTTGCGCCTTTGTGTAAGATTCCAAGACCCCCATTATTCTTTTTTATTTATTTTAAAGGGAATGTCCCATTGGGTGCCTTTTCTTTTAATCCATACGAGTTTCCTTTAATTGACCTCCAACTAGGTGTTCTTGCGCTTTGAATCTAGCTACTTTTTATCTTTTCCTTAAGAAATTCAATTTGCAAAGCAAAGAATTTACAAAATTTAACAAGCCTTATCCATTTCTTAAGCTGAAATGTTCAATATATAGTGATAAGTCAGTTGTCCAAGAAGTTAAAAACTTACAATATCGCTCTTCCCCAAACTCCTATTTATTTTGCTCAAAATATACTAGTGTCTTACTAGTACGAGTACAAACTCTTTGAATCAGTTAACCATAGATAGTAACGTTTGACAATCACCACCAAAAAGACAGCAATCCCAGTTGAATTTCTCACAGGTAAAAGGAGACAAGTGAATCGTGTTATGGGTTAAACAAGAATTCTCCAGGTTGGGATGTGTGTTCTGCCTCTATATATACAAAGTATAAATACCCGTTCTACTCCCAGTGTCCCATTCATTTAACATGAAAACCTACAGCACCCAATTTAAGAAAATGGAACATCTCTATCAAACGAAATAATGATCATGAGCTTTAAGATAAAGAAAAACATTTAATGCCAGAGCATGGTATAAATGTTTGCTGTCTGTTGTTCAGTCTCTCTTTTATTCAGTGGTTCTGAAAAAGAGAGTTAAAACATTCAGGATTACACAATATAATAGAACCTATAATTTATGAATCAGAGAACTAGTTAAGAATTTACTTTAGAATCAGCTGTCTAGGCAGAGCAGAAGAAATAAGCCAGAATTCCCGTCATAAAATCAGGTGACAGGAATTAGACATGCGTGCCAAGAAGTTTGTAAATCTGCGCACAGGGTACACACTACTGACTCAGATTGTAATCTAGCTCCATATAATCTTTTCTTCATATATTTCCCCAATATTCCATTTGTGTGAATTACAGGGTAATAGTCAATGCAGCTACTCCCCTTCTCAGAAAGCTACTAGAAAAATCAAGCGGTCGAATCTACAAAAGAAAATTTAGAAGTATCTTTTCAGGGCCATAGAATAAAAGCAAATTTGATGGTATTAAAAGTTCAATTAGTCACCAACAACAACTGAGAATGTCGGAAGAATCCAGGCAGTGCAATATAAATTCAAATGAAGATATACACAACTAATCTCCTAAAGGAAAGAGAAAGTATCACTCGAAGATCCAATGAAATATATTTCCCACATTAAACAGCAATATCACTACCCTCAAAAATCTGCTCAAACACCAGAAAGCCAGATCATCATTTCAACAAATTTGAGATACATGGATAATTTGTGAGGAGAAATCATTACATTATCCAAAACTACTACACTCAGTGGTTTCAGCTAACCTCTAGGTGCACATGACTGAACTTTCAATTAATGAAAAAGAGCTAATAAACTAAGTCATGTGCAAATCATCTAATATCATAGTAGTCTTAGATCAAATCATAGTTTCTCTAGCAAGTTGCATTAGATCAAATCATAATTTCTCTAGTAAGTAGAATTAGATCAAATCATAATTTCTCCGTGGAGTGAGAGCCATCGATCAATCATTTGATTTAAAGCTGATGTCATAAATATTCAGTATCTCAACAGAACAAACAAACTTATTGCTAAGTTCTAACACAATCAACAACCCACATAGAAAACAGAGCATTCAATTTGCTCTCAAGCAAGCTGCAATTTAAACGTATAATATGTTCCATAAAAGAGTTTCGAAATTTCAATAAATTAACCTAGTATAAGATGGTGATGGCTGACCTTAGAGGTTCATTTATCATTAGGAGCAAGGTGAGCCCAATCCCTTTGGTGAAGCATGTTGTAAGGATGGTAAGCGGAGGTGGCGGAAGAAGTGGGCATGGGGAGGCCCATGTGGCCATGGGCATGGGGCATGCCGAGGACAGGCATCGACATCATGGGAGGGGGATAGGGCATGGACATCATGGGAACGGGGAGATGAGCATTGGCATGGCCATGGGAGTGACCATGGGAATGGGCACTGGGAGGAGCAGACTCGTGCAAACTCTGAGGCACAGGTGTGGAAGCGAATAACTGATCCGATGAAGAAGGACCTTCGTTGGAGAGACCCTGCATCCGCTTCAGGTAAAGCCGATACTTCTGAAGATGGCTCGCCACATTCTCGCGGGTCAACCCTTCCACGTTCATCAACTGCATAATAGTCTTCGGCACTGCGTTCTTGATCCCAAGGTGCGCCACCACGTCCACAAACCGCTTGTGCAGCTGCGGGGTCCACACCAGCCGCGGCCGCTTCACCGCCGTCCGCTCCGCCGAGTTATCCGTCCGCACCGCCGAGTCAGCCTCCTCCGCCACGCACTCGATCTTCCGATGCTTCCTGGAATCCGACCCCGAGCCGTCGCGATCGGTATCATCCTCCTCGTCCTCGTCCTCCTCCTCGTGGTGTTGGTGGTTGTTGGAGGAGGAGAAGGCCTGGTGTACACTCCCGCCACCGCGGAGAGTGGAGAGCGTGTTGCGCGAGGCGCGGTTGACGTCGAGGACGGTGCGGTGCGGCTCCGGAGAGATGCTGAAGGCGGAGGCCAGCTCCGGCGGAATCAGCGGCTGTGAGAGAGGCGTGAGATCGTTGGCGGTGGGGAGACCCACCTCCCACTCCATGACGCGCTCTTCGTCGTACTCGCTCGTCTTCACCTCTTCCCCCATTGAGTTAGTTGTAACCGTCAAAACAAATTTAACCGCCTCTGACACACTCTATGTCCCCAATCCAAACAGAAACACAGATATATAAATATCTCTCTCAACCAAAAAAAGTGAAACGTTTGGGTAGTGGATTTGGATCTTCGAGTGAACAATGAAGAAGGTAGAATTGGAATTGGAATTGGATAATTGATAGAAGATTTCGGAAAAAGAAAACGAAAAATTTTGTTGCAATTGTGTCGTGAAGATATTTGGCGAGATAGGGCGGTGGGTGTGAGGTTGCGACAGGGAAAGTGAGGGTGAGGAAGAGGGATAATGAATAAATAATGATAAAGATGAATGAAATAATGCTCCTCCTAATTTTGTTCTCAAATTTAATTTGGGGCAAATTCTGAAAAGGAGAGAAAAAGTGCAATATCTTATTCCAGATCGGTGCTCCAGTGGTGCCAACGTGGACGACTTAGCCAGATATTTTTTATCCTCTAAATATCTTTCTTTCTCTTTTCTTTTTTATTATTATCATTATTTCAACATTATGATTTAATAATTCCTTTTACCACCACCTCCCACTCGCTTAGCTTCATGTGAAACCCCACACACTCACACACGTGCCTCTGCCTTGCCTAAAGTGCCCTCCTCCTCTTTATGCCATTGCCACCAATGAGAACCTAAAGTGAGTATAATATTAAGAAATTTTTCATAAATAATATTATTTTAAAAAATACGTTAGTCTCGCTCATGCGAGAAACGAATTGTTTGAGCGAAAGTACCTAAAAATTAAGAGTTTTGTGGGGTTTAAATTCGCTCAAGCGAAAAAATTCTCGCTTAAGCAAGAAGTGTTTTAGCTCAAGCGAGACATCATTCGTTTGAGTGAGAAGAGGTGAAACTAATAGATAATCTTAGATATTTTTTCGCTCGAGCGAGCACTGATTGAAATATGTGGTGACCCAAGTTGTATTATGTGGCTAATCTGTATTGGACCTTTAGCCTGTGGTCAATTCTCGTTCAAGCTACGAGTAATTTCGCTCGAGCAAGAAGTGATTGGCTAACTTAAACACATGTGGGAAATTCTCGCTCAAGCGAGGAACTCATCGCTTGAGCAAGATAATTTATAATCGATCATAATTTTAAAATAATCGAATATTTAAAATTATGACCGATTATTTCTCTCTCGCTCAAGCGAGAAATCTATCGCTTGAGCGAGGAGACTTGAAACTCATTTTGAGTAATCTCGGGTGTTTTTTCATTCAAGCGATGAGTAATTTCGCTCAAGCGAGAACTGATTGAAATATCTGGTGACCCAAGTTGCATTATGTGGCTAACTATGTTGGACCTTTAGCATGTGGTCAATTCTCACTCAAGCGATGGGTAATTTCGCTTGAGCGAGAACTGATTGAATTTTGTGGTGACTGAAGTTGTATTATGTGGCTAATTGCATTGAAGTTTTAGCTCTCGCTCAAGTGAGAATATCATTGCTTGAGTGAGGAAACCTAGAACTATTTATAATCGATTATAATTTTAAAATAATCGATTATAATTTTAAAATAATCGATTATTTTAAATTATGATCGACTATTTTGCGATTTTTTTACATAATTAATAATTTGTTTAAAAAAAATTTCCAAAACAGACACTTCCTAAGTTTGGATTCTCATGCCTTTTTGATGCACATAAGTCTGGAATCTAATGTTGAGTCACCCACCCAAGTCGGGATTCCAATCTTGGATTCCCTGCATTGGGTTAGACAAAGCGAAGTCATGTGAGGGAGCCTTGGATTAGACAAAAGTAGAAACACATTTAAAGAGATGCTGACCCACCCACTTTGCTTGGGTTTTGTATGCGTCAGAAGCCATGTGAGGGTGCCTTGGATTCAAATCATTAGACTTCATTATAAATAGACAATTTTCATTCTTTGAAGTTCTCACATTGCACACTCCTAAATCTCTAAAGATTTTTGCATTTTTTCTTCTTCTTACCTCTAGTCTTCTTTTTATTCCACACTACTAAAATGGGTGTAGTGTCTACTATTGTCCACTATGATGGTTCCATGGACCCATGTCCCATGGAGGGAGTTAACTTCAATACTGGGACTGCAAAACTTGTTCCTTTAAAGAGTGGAATTTCTCTACAAAGGTTGAAGAAGTTGATCCACAAAAAATTAGAGAAAGAACCCCACAAAAATGTAGCAACCATCCCTTTTCGCTGTCCAACTAGACTCGGAGTTGGGATCAACAACTTCATTATTATTGAGTTGAAAGATGATGACAACGTGGAGGTCATGTTCGATGTTCATGATTCAAACTCAAGTCTATGTGCTATTGAAATTTTTGTTATATTTAAAACTTCTTCTTCTTCATACCCCAACACACACTCACCTGAAATCTCACCCTCACCCTACCAAGCTTTCCCAAACACTGACCCAGAAATACCCACAGATAATGACTACATCTCTTTTACCCAACTTCTAAGTGGGTCTTCCACCAACATCAACGAAGAACTACCCACACAAGAGAACGAAATTGTTGGCCTCCCAATTGAAGTCGTTGATCCTTTTAGTGAGAACGAAGACCAAGATGAAATTCTCAGCCAACAACAAGATGATTAAGAGGACGAACAACCACATATCCTTACACATGCATCAAACTTCATGGAGCCACACAACCCACCACAACATTTTCTTAACTTCGAAAGTCACATTCAACAACAAGACCTAAAGTATGGTCATGCGTTGGACAGAGAGTCTTTTATTTCTCCGGCAAGAATTCTATTTCTTGGACAACGTTTCATAACAAAAAAACAAGTTCAAGATGCCATCAACCGCTTTCACATTGTCAATCACTGCACATACAAGGTGAAAATTTCAAACCAAAATAGATATGTTGTTAAATGTGTTGATAACCAATGCAATTGGAGATGTCAAGCAATATTGCGCACAAGAGAGCAATATTGGGAGATTATGAAGCTTGAAGGGCACCATACATGCGTTTCGCCATGCCAAGATCACAACAAGTTGGGATATAAAATGATTTCCCAAACAATTGGTCAAATAATTGATGTTGATTCGTCAACACCAATCTCCACAATCATAGCCCACATCCAATTAACAACGGGTTACACTATAACGTACAGGAAGGTCTGGTTGGCCAAACAAAAGGCAGTGGAGACCATCTACGGCAATTGGGAGGATTCATATAAAAAGTTGTCTTGTTTGTTACAAGCCATACAACAATTTGTTCCCGGATTCATCTACAAACTACAGTCACAACCAGCTTACCAAGGTGAGGTCCTTAAACAAAATTCAAATATTTTTAAGCGTGTGTTTTGGACGTTTAGGTCATGCATAGATGGATTTGTTCACTGCAAGCTCATTGTTCAAGTGGACGGAACCTTTTTATACGGAAAATATAGAGGTACCTTATTGGTTGCAGTAGCACAAGATGGCCGCAACAACATCCTCCCCATTGCGTTTGCAGTGGCTGAAAGTGAAACGAGTGATGCCTGATTTTTTTTCTTAAAAAACCTCTAAAGATATGTCACACCCCAGCAAGGATTATGCCTCATATCAGACCGACATGAATCCATTAGAAGTGCATACATGAGAAATGGAAGCGGATGAACAGAAAATAATTCAATGCATGTCTACTGCATTAGACACATTGCACAAAATTTTATGAAACGTTTCAAAAACACCACACTAAGAAAAGATGTTGTAAATATGGGTAATTTTTTTGCTTCAAATTTGTTACAATTTATTCATTATTTAACTATTGCTAATAAATATTTATATTAACTATGTTTTTTTAATATTGTTGTAGCATATGGGATGATTGAACCACGATTCTATTATTATTACAACATATTGAGGCAATGTGACATAAATGCAGCTAATTGGTTGGATGAGATACCTAGAAAAAAATGGGCACTTGCATGGGACAATGGACGGTGTTGGGGCCACATGACGACTAACATAGCAGAGTCTATCAACTCTGTTTTGAAAAAAATAAGAAATCTACCTATTTGCTCCATGGTCAATGCAACATACACCCGCTGCAACAAATTTTTCATTGAAAGAGGGAGGTAGATAAATGCTATGATCAATGCTGGTCATGTATACTCTAAAATTTTGGACACAAATTTAGAGGAAGCACAAACACAGGCAAACACGCATAGAGTCATAACTTTTGACAGATCTACCACAAAACTTGTAGTAGAAGAAACACAAAACCCGCGTGAAGTTCGACCAGCAGGGAAGTTTGCAGTTCGCCTTGATGAGTTGTGGTATGATTATGGGAAATTCTAGAAATTTCACATGCCTTGTTCATATGTTCTTGCTGCATGCAAGCATGCACACCATGACTTCAACAATTACATTCATCCAGTTTATACCTTACAACAAGTTTACAAAACACAATTTGGGTTGTTGCGAAATGAAGAATATTGGCCAACATACATAGAACCTACTTTGTATGCAGATCCAGAAATGAAAAGAACTTCAAAAGGCCGACAAAAATCAAGTCGTATAAGAACTGAGATGGATATTACAGAAAATCAAAGTAGGATTAAAAAATGTTCATATTGTCATACCCCTGGTCATAGTAGAAGAACATGCCCCAATGTTGCACGTGCATCTACTTTGCATCATTAGATTGTGTTAGTTAAGAAATGTCACAATATATGAAACTTATTGTTTTTCAATTAATAAAACTTCTTCTTTGCAGAGTGGGGATTACCTACAATGTAGTAACTCATGGACTCATCTGTTCTTACAATAATGATAATTATATTGGCAAAAAATCATAATAGGAATACTAGTTTGTTGCATGAATTGTTAATATTCTTCACTTTAGTCCTTTTGTTGTTCAATCTTGTTCATGGCTGAATTGAAAATATGCTGACAAGTTGCAATTTGCAGTCCAGGGAGTATATAACTTAAAATTATCAAGGACAAATTTTTTAATACGAAAATAATTAGATAAGCCTTTGCAGGTTTTATGAAACAATTATTTCAATCAGCTATCACTTGAGCGAAATTACCCATTGCTTGAGCGAAAAAACACCCGAGATTACCCATTAGTTGCAGGTTTCCTCACTCAAGCGATGAAATTTTCGCTTGAGCGAGAGTTGGCCACAGGCTAAAGCTTCAACGCAGTTAGCCACATAATGCAACTTGGGTCACCACATAATTTAATCAATTCTCACTCAAGCGAAATTATTCATCGCTTGAGCGAGAATTGACCACAGGCTAAAGCTTCAACGCAGTTAGTCACACAATGCAACTTGGGTCACCGCATATTTCAATCAGTTCTCGCTCGAGCGAAATTATTCATCGCTTGAGCGAGAATTGACCACAGATTACCCATTAGTTTCAGTGTCTCCTCACTCAAGCAATGGATTTCTCGCTTGGCGAGAGAGAAATAATCGGTCATAATTTTAAATATTTGATTATTTTAAAATTATGATCAATTAATTTTAAATTATAATCGATTATAAATTTTCTTGCTCAAGCGATGTGTTCCTCGCTTGACCGACAATTGCCCACATGCGTTTAAGTTAGCCAATCACTTCTCGCTCGAGCAAAATTACCCGTCGCTTGAGCGAGAATTGACCACAGGCTAAAGGTCCAACGCAGTTAGCCACATAATACAACTTGGGTCACCACATATTTCAATCAGTGCTCGCTCGAGAGAAATTACCAATCGCTTGAGCGAAAAAACACCCGAGATTACCTATTAGTTTCACCTCTTCTCGCTCAAGCGAAGGATGTCTCGCTTGAGCGAGAGCACTTCTCGCTCGAACGAGAATTTTTCGCTCGAGCGAATTTAAGCCCCACAAAATCCTTAATTTTCAGGTACTTTCGCTCAAGCGATTCATTTCTTGCTTGAGCGAGAGTAACGTGAACGATAAATAGTGTTACTTTCGTAAATAATATTCCAGGTGTATTATTTTAAAAAATATTTTTTAAAATAGTATTATCTATGAAAAAAAGTCGTAATATCAATGTATCATTAATTAATTATTATTATCAGTATTACTAATATAATATTTACGTTAAAATAATTGTTTCACATTTTTTAATATATTTTTTATTTATCGTTAAAAAATTTAGTTGTTATAATTATATTTTTTTAAATTCAATATATCACTAAATCGGTATATATATATATATATATATATATATATATATATATATATATATATATATATATAAGATTTAGAAATTTAATAAAAATTGAATCAAATTTAATAAAATGATATTTTAAAATATAATAAATTTATTATTAATAATATTTAAAAAATATATTAACATTTATTATAATAATTACTATAAAATTCAAAATTATAAATAAAATAATTATTATTTAAAATCAATGTAATTAATATAAAAAATATATTATAACTTTTATAAAAAAATATTAAAAATAATTTAATATTATTTTTTTTACCAAAATTAATTCAAATAAAAATTTAATTGATTTCTGGATTTTATTAATTTTATATGGTTTTTTTTGTCGAATTCAATTAAAAATTGATTATTTGAATTGGTTTTTGTATTGATCCTAGATTAGAGTGATTAAACTGGCAAGTATGATTTAAAAAAATATATTTTTTGATTTATTAAAAAATTTCTTAACTCTTATTTAAAATAAAAACATGAGTTAATTTAGACCTAATGCACTGATTGAAGTTAAAGCCTGAGATGGACCGTTGTCTTACCATACCCTTAAATATAGTGATGAAAACCAAGAACGATATTAACTATAAATTTGAAGTGACGCAAATTAAAGAATTATCCATAAGGATGCAATTATCAAACAAAGCGCTCATATACTCCATGTTGCACCTCTAAAAAAAATATTATTTTATATTTTTGTAATTGTTTTCTGTTATATTTTCATTGTATTGCAGATGCAGAAATTTCATTTTTTTTGTTAATTTCTTTTTATGCATGATGTTATCTACTATCGACCAATCAAATTGATAATATATGAATAATACTTTAATAAATCAAATAAATGGACTATTTATATTTTCAAAAATTAAATTTACCTTTTTTATTTTAATTTTTATTACATTTAAAAATATTTTTAAAACAGTATAACGTATTCGTTGTTAAATACGCTTTTAAATCATAATCAGTGTATTTAAAGATTCAACTATATATTAAGTGACATGTTTTATGGTTACTCTGATAGGATTTTGATATCAATATGATAAACAAGGGCTTTCAATAATATTTAACATAAAAAACAAATTACTTGTTATAAAGAACAATGATAAATACAACAACATCCAATTAATTAGTAAAAAAATTATTTTATTTATTATGTATAAATAAATTTATATAATCATGGTAATTAATTTAATAAATCTACAATTAGAAAGTAGTCAAATTCAATAATAATAATAATAATAACAGAACTAACTAATTTCAAAGTATAAGGTATGCAACTAAGAACTAAATTACTTAATGCATAGGTTCAGAATTATTAAATATAATTTGAATTATTTAAAAACAACAAGTATTTTTTTTAACGTGATAAATATTTGTATTTATTTTCGTTTTTTTAAATAAAAATAATGTGAATGAGACGTTGTCATGTGTGAGCATGTCACCTCAAGAAAGTAAAAAGGGGTTTTGAACTTTTTTTTGTTTGGCAAATGAGAATGAGAACGCGTAAAGTTTCCAAAAGCTGAAAGCAAGTAGAAAGTACATTGTTGAATAAATTTGAAGAACGTGGTGGCAAACAGCTGGAAGGGTGGTGATTCAACGAACTGTGGAATCGATTTTGATCTTTTCAAACCGCGCTTTTCTCTGTAACGAGGGTGATTCGGCAAAACGGTGGTGATTGGTTTTGATTTTACAGAACGCGCTTTTTTCTACGATGAAATGGATCAGGCGGGTTGAGAATCATAGAACGCCAATCCAATTATCGACCAGTGACTGGGACAACATCCGCCGCTTTTTAAGCACAAGTTAGACAAAAAAATTTTCCTCTAACTTTTAATAATAAAGTATATTGATGAATATCAATTAATAATTTTAAGATATTTTTCAGAAATATATTTATTTTATGAGATTTAATATAAGTAAGTTTTATTCAAATTTTCCCTATATAAAAAATATTAAGTTTTTTATAAAGATGGATTAAAAACACATAAAATAATTTATTTTTACGCATTTTAATATTTAAAAAAAAAATCTTTTTCTTCAATATAATATTTGTAGTAACTTTATAAGGATCTTATTTAATGATCATGAGCTAAGTTATGTATGAATTATTCTAATATCATAGAGTAAAGCATAATGATTTAAAAAAAAATGAAAACTCATATTTCTCATCGTCAAAAAACGTAAGATTAGCCTTTTGAAATTGGACTAAAGCATAGTGACATGACACTAGATTTTATTGGTTAAATAAAAATGTATATGTTGGGTGATTAATTGAAATAAAAATAAAAAATATACAACGAGGTTTTTATCTAGAATTTGTGGTTAGTACATTCTAATGAATTTTGAAGATGGAGGTTAGTATAAGAAAGTATTGCATTAATGTTGATGAGACATTGATAATGTATTGATATATTGAAAGTGGTGACGGAAAATGCGTGGAAAATATTGATATATTTTGAAGTCTTGCATTATTTTATATGCAACTTGGCTTCTGCCACCTGGTATGGCCATTATAAAACTCATCAAAGAATAAAAAAATAAATTAGCAGATAACGTTTTTTATTTGATGTGCGTGGAAGATGCAACTGCCACAAATAAAAATAACCCACAGATATAACTTCAAATCTTTTACTGGATGGGAATAGGATACCAAGTTAGTATCCATTAATATGATACTACCACATATACTCTACTCAAAACACTCCTTATCTTGAAGAGAAGATGCACGGTGGAGTACAGTTTTTTATGGTAGAGATAACCGCATCTAAGAATTTCCCCTGATTAGGTTTTTAGATAATATTATACTATATATTAGATCACAATGTTTCAACCTATCTTTGTTAAACACGCAATTAATTTCTATTAACTATTTTACATTAAATATCTTTATTATGTGTCACACAAAACTTATTATATGTAAAACAAATAACTCACTGACCTTAAATTCATAAAAAGGATTCGCTTAATTTGAAAACAGAAGAAAAAGTCAAGGAAAAATACCTTGAACGCTTTCAACATGTGTTTCAATCAAAACTAAGACTTCATTCACCTACACTTAATCTTTTGATGGGAAATTTATAGCAAAAGAAAATAGTCCCACTTATTGGGCTTTCAAAAAGGAGGCAAAAAAAGGTGCGTCATTTATACCAGGAACGTTGAAAACGCAGTGCTTTTAATAGTTCCTTGAATGCTGATATAATCATTTTATACCATACCTTTCTTGCGTATGTTTGTCCTACTTTTGGAGATCCTTTGTGCAAGTGCCTATTTCTTTCCCCTTTTTAGACGTGATTGAATAGAAACATAAACAACGAGGACTTAGAAATGGGAAAGGTAAACTTGCAATAAAAATTATACTCTTGAAAGGAAAAAGAAAGTCAATAACCATACATGACTAAAAAGAAAAGAAAAAACTGTCCACATGGCATCATTTTGTACAGTCACGTCGACTTAAAAACTACCTCACCATTTTATAATCTTTACACCATAAAAAGGCTTGTATAGTAGTCATATTTCATTTTATCTCCTCTGCAGGGGCCTCAGGTGCATTAAAACATCTGATCAGCCTCATCTCGCATAAATTCTTTGTATAAACTTAAAAGCTACAAAATGTACAGTTCTGCAGTACAACCGATAACTTTATTTCCGATTGGCTACAACCCATCTTCACAGACAGGCAACATAACCTCTTGATCTGGAAAGAGGATGAACAAGAAGCAGCAGCGGCAGCTCACACTAGCCTCAGTTAGCTGTACAAGATTATTTCTCTAAGCCACCTAAGCAGGCTGAGGAGGAGACTGAGCAGCAATTCTCCTTTCTGCAACAAATTATACATAACCTTTCAGAAACTATATGAATGTCATACCTCAACATATGATAACAATAAGCTTTATATTAAAGAAGTAGAATGTCTTGGTCTTCATGATATAGGATAGGAGCATGATTTCAGATGAGTGCTCCTCTAACAAGCACAAACTGATGGTAAAGTATAAAAATGTGAGAAAGGCAAACGAAGAATATAGTGGAAGGAGCAAGTACCTCCAGCAGCAACAAGTTTCTCTACACGTGCAACGATGTGCTTTCCATAGGTGTACTTTTTCAATGCATTCAGATGAACCTTAATTCGTGAAAGAATCAGTTCACGTTGTTGATCATCACATGTTTCCAGCACCTTTTGTACAACGTAATTTGCAAACTGATCTTTCATCATGGCCTATATATAAAAGAATCTAATTTAAATTTTTGAAAAACTGTGGAAGAGGGAAGAGTCTCATCGAACATGTGACAAACCATTATCAATTTTAGTTGGAAAGGTGGTGAGAGTTAACTAAAGCATTCACAACACCGACAAATAAGAATTTTATTGAAAGAAATATTTGGGAGACATAACCTGCCTTCTCCCAGAACTGAAATATTTATGTGACCAAGTTCAAGACTGGAAATGTGAAAACCGTTCTGTTCAATCACATGAAGGAGATGCTGGATAGAAAAAAGGTCTACAGATGTCATGAGCTGAGTTCATGCAATTGCATTGGAAATCATGAAGATACTTCTGATCAATTATGATGGTATTGAACCTAAAAGTAGGCTACAGTGGACCTAACAGGATGCATTGACATTGCCTTATAAGTTTGCATCAAATAGTGGGAGAGGCATATAATAGGAACGAAAAGTTCAACAAACCTGAAGAGGCTCATTTTCATCTGTGGAGCCAAGCATCTCATGTACTAGTAACTGGCGCTCAGAAGGACCTCCAAATGTCAAACATTTCTCCACAACATTGGAGGCAAACTTCTGTTGACTCATTTGAACAATCTTGCCTGCTAATTCCTTTATTATAGAAGAACGCTCGTGAGGCTTCCCATGCTCCAGAACATGCTGTTATCCAGGAGAGAAGAAACCAAATGCAAGAAATCAAACCACATATATATTAAACACTATCACATTAAGGTGTTAAAGTAATATTAGAGTTGTCAATAGGGACCACAAGCGTCTATCACATGATGTCACTTTAAATCCAGAAAATGAACAGGACAGCGGTAATAACATAAAGTAACAGTTTTAAAAACAAAGAATAAAAAATAGAAACAATTAACACTGAAGCGTTACATGTGTTCCAAAGAAAATACAAAAAAAAAGGAGTTTCTAGTTGAAAAGTTTCACGATATGATCTATTGAAAAAGAACAACACACTGTGAAAATATTAGAAGACTGAGCAAAGGAAAAGACATTCATATTTCATTATCAATAAACAAATTTGCAGTTCAAAACTCATTGTGACATGAGAAAGGTTGGGAATAAAGGTCCAAAACAAAACAACTATCAACTATTTTTCAAAAAATTCTTCATGGCAGGCCTGCACCCAGAGTACACGTGCAGAAACAGGTTCAAATGTCTACTTAGAAAAAAATTAAAAACCTGAACAACGTAGTTGCCATACTGATCCTGAGCTAACATGCTAACTGCTCCTAAAATTTCATCCATAACTTTCTGCTGTGTTGTAGGATCTTTGCAATGCTCCAGTACTCTCTGTTGTGTAGAAGGCAATACCATATGACAAATGATCTTTCATATTTAATACGATTGACATAACCATTAGAGATACCCTACCTGAATCACCCGGCAACCATATGGATGGGTTGAGAGGGTGACAACTTGATCAAAAAATATCGAGACAATGAAGTGAATTGCATCTTCAGGGACGCATTCAATACACTTCTGAATCACATGATTACCATTCTGATCACGTACACAGCGCATCACATTACCATCAAGCTCTTGCACCATCTCTATCTTCTGATCCAGATCAACAACTTCGATGGCCTAAAGAGGGAAAAATAAATGAAGAAAAGAAAATTGATAACATGCTCAATGAAAATACAGAGTGAGCCAAACATATATACACATCAACTAATGCCACCTTATATTGTCCATACCTTCTGGATGACCCGGCAACCATACATTTGAAGGCTAAGTGTCAGAACATGGCCAAGAAGTTTGTTGGCCAATTCTCTTCTCTGGGCTGCAAGTCCATGCTCAAAAAACTACAATATACCACATAACATTAATAACTATTGCTCAAAAAAGATTCATGAAAGAAAATATTAAATTAAAAGAGTAATGATTACCTTTTGAACCACATAATTACCAAAGACGTCAGTCATCAGTGCAAGGGCATGCGGCATGATTTCCTGATAAACCATGTTTTTTTCTTCAGTAGTGGCTGTTTCAAGCTTTTGTTGAATAAATCGGCTCCCATATTGATCCGCACTGCCAATGATAATAAATTAATCAGAATTGTTTTTTTTAGGATGCAGCACAAAATGAAGCATAAGAAGATCAATACTAAAAAAATACCTGAATTCTACAACATGACCAGCAATTTCAGAGAGCTCAAAACACTTTGTTTTGTTGCTTTTAAACTCCTCCAACAGGGAAGAAGCAAAACTATCATCAATGTTCCCAGAATCTAAATGCCAAGGTCCCATTACCCCAGCTAAATTCCTCATTCCAGAAGCAAAACGCATATTCAGTTCATTATGCCTAACAGGACTTCCAGATCCTACTGGAGAAGTGGATACAACAGAGTTTGCCATTGGACTTCCTGGATAAGACAACCCCACACCATATGCAGGATTTCCATAATAAGCATGAGGAGTGGAGCTGCCTGATTTACCACCCAGTGGTACATTGTATTGAGGTTTCTGAGGTGAGAGGATAGAACCAAGATAAGCTTTCTGAAGCTCAAGTAAGCTCATGTATGAATTACCTAAGTAGTTCCTGTCCACAGAGGGGTCGTTAAGAGCACCAATTTGTGCTGCATACTCAGATGTCCTCATGTACTGAAGATACATGGGATCAACAAAAGGGGCCTGAAGAGTACTGCCTGGAATTTGATTTCCCATCCTACCAAGATTATGCACATCAGATGGAGCAGCAACTCGAGAAGCCAAACCACCTCCAAGAATTCTTGAGTCCATTCCAGGGGTTGCCATTGCAGATGCTGCAGCAACGTTTTCAAACAAGGGTGGCAGATTACCAGTGCCCAGTTGATTAGTCATCATGGATACCAGTGCTGGATTTCCAGCATATGCACTCAGATCATAGTTAGTATATGATGAATTTGAACCATCTAAAGGCTGGTATTGGGGTGGCAAACTACCTCCTCTACTAAAATGGGAGGTAGGCGATCCTTTGAAATATGAGTTATTGGAAGGAAAATTAGACTTTTGTAGATCAACCTGCCTATCCAAGGATGGATTGTTAAGATCAGACCCGCTCCTGCTCTTACTTGAATTTTGCATGTGAGCTGATTCAGATTTCGTTAAATAAGCATGTTGCTTCCCGTGATCTTGACCACCTTGCCTACCAAAAAGATATCTCTGGTGATTATCAGCATCTGATTCAACCTGTGATGGCAATCGGTTTTCCCCATCTAACATGTCATCTGCTGACAAATTCATCACTGACAATGCTGCCACAAGATCTGCTGACTCATTGATTCCAGATGAAACACTATTAAATCCATCTGGACTAGCAATAACTCTCTTGTCAGAAGGGATAGCTCTGCCGCCACCAATAGGTGTTATGCAGGGACTGGGTGCCCTAGCAACAAGCTGTGGATCAGGAGTATTGCTTCTTGACAAGGAAGATCCCACTACAGCAGCATAAGAATATGAAGCTGGCAGGCCAGTATTTTGGGATGCAGATGATCCTTGAACATTTGATCCTGACCTTAGTGCATCAGTGGTTGTGGACTCACGGCGCACATGAGCCAACTCTGCTTCAGCAGAGCTAATGATATCATTGTCATCAAATGCATTACGACTAGCTGGACGAGAAGGAGGACCTGTGACAGTAGTATTACGTCCCAAATCATCCTGCACATTTACCAGTTGTAAATGACAGGCAGAAGGAAGAGGATATGAAAATAAAGAAATCCAAGAGATCAAAGCAAATATAAGCTAACTTCACTACAGATATATCAACAATTGATAGTAGCAAGACAAACAAATATTGCTACACAAAATCTTTTGAAATGAAAAAGCAAACAGATAAAACCTGAATATATCATATATTCAAAGTTATAGCAAACAGACTGCATAATCAAAATCAACATGAGTCACTTCAATACTGTGGGGAATGTAACATTTCTTCAAAAATTACTGGGTGTAAGCCAAGTCAATCTCCAGTTGCTGAAGCTTGATAGCAATAGTGTAAGAACATGTAACTTGTTGAAAATCATGAACCAGTATGCAAGAGAAAAGAAGGGTTCCTGAGACAAAATTTAGCAAGAAAGACTCTCCGCTAATTTGGTTGTATTAGAAACAGGTAGTGTAGTTACATAACCTGTTAGCTGAACTAACAGGCTGATGGACATGAATAGCTTGCAATGAAAAATCTAACTGTCACTTCAATATGTTTAACATATTTTATAGAATAAATTAAAGTTTAATGGTAATGATGTTATCATGTAATCAATTGACTGGAGCCTGTAAAGTATCTCAACCCCATACATGCTACTTGACAATATAGTACTGCAGTATACAGTGAGAGATACACTATGAGTGCACTACAGTATGCATTATAGTATACTACTGTACTGAACGTAACATTGCAAAACTAAACACAAATGTGGTTCAACAGGCTATAATGTGCCTCAACAGGCTATAATGTGCCTGAAAGATTTTACGCTGAAAGCAACAAGTAAACTAGATGTAGCTAAACAATCACCATAAATATTTAGAGCCAGTATAAAACTAAGAAGGATAACAACTACAGGACAATGATAAAGGCTTGTCAGAACTATATGACAAAAAATCTGATGAATTCACAAAGTGTCATGCTGCCATCTTCCATCACAATAAGCACTATAAATAACGAAATAGGAACCAAAACTCAAAGGCATACGCATGTTTCACCATTCCTTTAATCAAACCTTATTTCCCTCAAGAATTACAATCATTAATCAGACACACATCAAAATATAAAAGATTATATTTAGCAAAAAACAAACTACCAAAGATCATACCCAACCTCACAACATACGCATCAATTAATCACATGTCAGAGATGAAAACACAAAATGCCAAATTAAGAAGCTCAGGAAAAATAGAAACAAATGCAACACGGGGTCAATAGTCAATCAATGGCAGAAGAAGCAAGCCACCTGGAAAATTTCTGCAAAACTTTTCTGTTTGCTCAGCCCTAGTCCAGGCAAACCAATCAGTCCATCACCACCCCACTCCGCAGTACCTCTAGTTTTTTCACTATCCACTTCACTCTCTTGTTTCCTCGTGTTAAAACCTGGTGGGGTAGAAAACAACGACCTACCACCAATATCTTCAGTCCTGTTCACTTTCCTCCTATCTCCAATTCCACCCAGAACTGAAGCTCCACCTTTAAGTCTTTGTTGAAACCTCCAATCCTCCTTTGACAGCAAAGGAGGCGGCAGCCTAGGATTCAAATTCACATTGGAGTAATAGTATGAAAGATAAGCTGGATCAGACCTAAGCTCTTCCTCAGAAGCAATCCCATTCATATCATTAGTCTCCCGAAACTCCGAAAAGGCACCATCATCACCACCACCAGAAGCACCGCCGCCACCACCACCAAACAACCCTCCAACGGCACTTAAAGAACCCTCCACAGTTGGAGGCGCTGATCCACTCCTAAAAATATTAAGCTCTCTCTCACGATCATCAGCCTCTTGCCTGCGTTGCTCACGAAGCAACATCCCTATCTCCTTCTCCAACTCATCACCAAACGAACCCTCGTTACTCCCAAGCATCGGTCTTCTTCCCAACTCAGACAACATTTTTCAAAATCCCAAACTGATCACCAACCTCATCATATATAGCTAAACCATATCATCACCCACCACCAGAAATCAAACCCTAACCCCAAATATTCAAACTTTTACCACCACAGAGCGCCTCCACACCCCATATTAGCAACTTCACAAAATTCTAAATTGCAGTAACTGAAGAAAAATTGAAAAAAATAAAATAAAAAAACTCTCCTTGTAAAAACTGCACCAAAGCCACTTCTGAAGCTGAAACTAAACCACACCAAGAATCAAACACACAACGAGATTGCCAAATTCACTCTAGGTCCCCCAGAATTAGTTTCCATAATTATAGACATCAAATTCCTAGGAGAAAATGGTTCCCAGAGGATAATATATACAGAAGAATAAAACAAAAGTGGGAAAGAACAGGGAGAGAAGAGGGAGTGAGGGATGGTGCAGTGAGATCAGAAAAGGAAACAGTGAGAGAAATCAATCCGGCGGCGATTGGTTCTTACAAGAACCCTTAGGGTTTTGTTCCATTTAGAGGAGGATTAAATACAGTTGATGATAGGAAGCAAAGCAAGGCCAAACCAAAGTAAACATATTTGGTTTCTTTTTTTCTTTTTTTTCTTTTTGTATTTTGAGTTAGCAAAGTTTCCATTTATTTGTAAATCTCGGAAATATCCAGAACATATTTTATGTATTTCCTGAACATTAGGGTAATTGACCAAGTGATAACCGACTAATGCCACTGCCGAAGTTTTTTTCTTTTCGGCTCCTGTTCCCAAACCAGAAGCTGTGACCGACTGACACGTCGGTCTATTAGATTCCCTACATCAGTAAAATATAGTCCAAAGTACAGTAAATTTCGCACCACTTACAGCCATTTCTTCAATTCAGTTAAACTCTTCTCATACATGTTATTTTCACTATCTTTCATCATTTTCATTTTCATTTTCACATTTTTACTTCCCACTTCTACATATAACATGTATTACTTCTCACACTTGCCATGCCAAATGTGTCCCTCTTCTTTCCCACTTTACATTCAATAGAACGACCTAGACTTTGTTTTATTGTTAGAACACATTCCAATGCAACTGAACGGGAAAGCATGTGAGAAGATGAATTGGTTTTAACTACGTTTGAGCCTTCCCAACTACTTATTGCTAGAGACTGTTTTTATTCGGATTTACTTTCCAACACTCAATTCATGTATCAATACTGTCTCCAGCAACCTAGTCTACATCAAAACAGAACTTGCTTTCTGCTGTCTTAATGTTACCCTTATAGTTTTACATATGTTATTACACAGACTGATTTAGAGATATTGTATTTGGATTTGTTATTACACACATTGAAATTTTTTAGCCATGAAAACAAAGTTCTCTGGTAAATTTATTTTGAAAGATTATATAAAACATGTAAAATTATGGAAAGATAAAATAATATTAGTTTAAGCATTTAATAACTTTATAAAACTGTAATTTTAATTAATTAAGTGTTAAATTATATATATATATATATATATATATATATATATATATATATATATATATATATTGCGTATCCTGTTATAAAATATCCCTAAATGCAAACCTATCGTAGCACTATATATTATGGGGGTGGTAAGATAAAATTCTTATTAATATTTGTGTAAAAACATTATAGTAAAAAAGTATCTAAATTATATTTAATAGAATCCTAATGAACTACTCAAACTTTTTTTTAAAATTAAACAAAAGAAAGTGTTCTATCTGTTATTGAACATGACTTTAATTTCCAAAGTGAAGGTCCACATTTCATTTTCTCTCCTAATATTCAACTCTTATTTTTGTTCACATTGTCTCTAGTTTATTTGTCATAAATAATGCCAAAATCATATGACTCAAGAAAAGAAGATTTTTAATTTAAAAATATATTAAACATCTCAACATTACACATGTAAGAAAATTATTATGTAATTTATAAATGCTTAATAAATTTTTACAAATTTGTACGTTATATACACACCAAAAAAACTATTAAGCATTTAAAAATTACACAAGTAAAACAATGCATTAAAAGTGTAAAATTTACACAATAGGAAACGATTAGTGTATTAAAAAAATCACATCATTTAATCATGGTTGTTCGGAATCACATTTTTAAGCATGACTAAATTTTATTTAGTTAGTAAAAAATATTACTATGAATATTTATTGATTTTAAAAAAAAATTTATTATTTTACTAAAAAGAAATTGTTACCACATTATGATTTTTTTTTTTTTTAGAAATTTCACCGTAAGATAACCACTACAATATTGGTTCGTTTTTACCACTACAAATGCATTCATTTCTTAATAATTTACCAAGTTTTATTAACACAATAATATATATATATATATATATATATATATATATATATTCAAAAAATAATTGTTTTCTGAAAAATAAACTTGAGTACTTTTTTTTAAAGATGCCTTTTTTAACTTCTTCAATACACTCCTAAGATTTTTTTATTTTTTTTTAAATAAGTGATATTTAACCATCATACTGTCAGAATAGACAATAATGATTAAAAAAATAAACATAAAATTATTGATGAAAATTTAGCAATAAAAATTAATGCATTGATAAATTTCTAAATCTGCAGGTAAATATTTGTATCATGTACAGACAAGAAAGTCTATCAGAAATTTCTTAAGAATTTTTGCACCTTATAAAAAATAATTCGTTTGTAATATCGACAATGTAAAAAAATAATTATCAATAATGTTAACAAATTCGTTAATAGTTGAATAATAAAAGTTATTCAAATATATTAAATTTATCAATATCTATGTACATTTTATAATAAAATATAATATCAAATTTATATATATATATATATATATATATTATGAATTTATATTATTATTATTTATATAATATATGATAACTATGTTAAACTTTTTTAAAATTCAATAATAAATGTTACATGTAAAAAATTTTAAAATTTCTTTTTTCATAAGTAAAAATGAAAAATATTTTAAATTATAAAGAAAAATATTAAAAATTTAAAAAATATATAATTTATATAAATTAAAGTTCAACCGTTGTTAAATAATTAAATTATAAATTTTAAAAATCAAATTATATGATATTTATAATCTCATTAATATATTTATAATCATTTTTTATCAAAATATAAATAATAAAATCCATTAAAAAAAGTTAATTGGAACGTGAAAAACTTTAACCTAGGATAAAGAATATAGACTCACATATATATGTATAATATATTCATAATAATTTTAATAAATATTAATGTATCATTTATTTAAAAAATAAATATTATTTATTAACTTAATAAATATTAATGTAATCTTTTTTTAATGAAACACTATTTATCATTCTTTTATATATATATATATATATATATATATATATATATATATATATTTAAATATCATTTTTTACATAATTAAATTTTTTTAAAATTATTTACTTAATTTAGTCTAAAATTATTTTATAGTAAGTTCATTTAATTCATTTGATTTTTTTAATAAATTATTTACTTAATTTATTTTCATTTTTATAATTTATTTACTTAAATATTGTTCTTATTTCACGTTTTTTTTATATTTCATCCCTACCAAATTGTACGTATATCCCAACCCAAATGACTAACTCAACCGACCCACTAACATTGTAATATGAACAACTCTCGCTTCAACATATAAATCTAACTCTGATTTTATCTTTTGTTACAAGGCAACTCTCCCTTAAGCATTAGCCCTAACTCTCACCTCCTCCTTCATCACAATACAGTTGCTCCCAGCATAATCCCTGACACTTTTCAATTCAATAAAGATGATCTTGTTACGAAAGATAAACTCACTCACGTGTTCCACACTAGATTGGTATTTGTCATTCATGAGGACAGTAAGTTGAGTCTTTCAAGTGTGAAATGCTTAGAGTGGGGAGCGCATGTACGTCGTGGAGGGTGAGTTCGTGGTTAGATGCACGGACCTATGGATGATCTATTTTAATGCTTGAAACTTGGTGTTTTGCTACAATGGATGAGTTCAATGGACTTGAATGAGGGAGTGAGTGAGGTTTTAGCAAATCCATATCTAGAAGAATACTGGCCACTTTAGGGATGAAAAATCTAGGAAAATATATATGTAAAGACCTTTAATGATGCACAAACTCTTCTTCAACAACACTAATTAAACCAGCATCAATTGAATACACACCATTAAAACCAACAAGATAACTAAAAAAAACAAGAAAATGACCATTAACAAATACAAAATGATCATCAACAACAAAATGATAAAGAGGAGAAAAATCCATAATAGGCAAATTATTCTCTTGATTATTCAAATTATTATATAATATTTGAATAATATCAACTGGAGCAAGTTAAAAGTTTCATACTTTTTATATAAGATAGTTTTATTGTTAAACTAATTCCTATGTATATTTAAAAAAAAAAAAAATCTCTTTTATGTAATGTTCCATGAAGAGAGATTATGAAGATTCTTATAAGTTTTTTCATCGTATAGAATGTCATATAGAAAAATAAATTCATTACGTTATAGTCAATGTCATTTAATGCATTCCATCATCTTCATGTTATAAAATATATTGTTTATCTTATTAAATTTGATAGCAAAATATGACTTATATGTAACTTCATATAGTATTTTTATCTAGGTAATTCCTTTGGTGCACCCTCAGAATAAGGTGTTTTGGAAAACTAGTAAATAAGACTTCTTATTTTATAACATGTATATAATTTAGACTATTCAGCTTGTCTTGTTATTTAATATGATCAAAGTTAATTGTTATTTTTTTTTAATTATTGTTATTACACTCCTTGAGACAATGTTGCAAATACATAAAACTACATTATTTTCTTTATAATTTATTTTTTATTGTCATATGTGGTCATTTGAAAAGACATTAACCTTAATACAAATTTTGTCGTTACTTCTTTCATTAACAATAAAATATGTTGAAAGTGGGTGCCTCCCTTAATGCAATGATAACCTTTGAT